CTCCAAATAGTTTTTAATCTGATTTTGTCAATTTAATGACTGCTTTACATTCCTCTGCAAAACATAATGGATTTTTGTAACAGTTCTACAAGCTCATAGGTATATATTCAGAAATATAATCACTCAGAAATCCACATCTTTTGAGGTAATTCTTTCTTTTTTTCCATCAGTTAACCATGAGACTTATTTTGGCTGCAGAATGATTTTTCTGCTTCTCCTGTTGCTTCAGGACTGCTACCTTTTCAGTGGCATCATGACTTTCAGAGTTTAAATAATGTCCCAATTCAGGAGTAGAGTTCATCCATCTCACACTAGTAATCTAAAGCATTTCTTGTGCAGGTCACCCCTACAATCACCCAAGAGAATCAAATATGTCCAAAGAACAAGTCATCTAGCAAGCAAGCTTGGTATTCTTGGGTTGGAGGACCTGCCCTCCAGATGCGCCTCTCTCCCATTACTAACTGTAGAAGTTTCCCAAACAACTTGCACTTTCAAAGCTACAGCTACATCATAAGCCTTCTGTCTTAGCAATTTAAGATAATTGCAATTAAGAAGGTTTTAAAGCCTTCTTATTGTACTGAAGTGTCCTCTATCCTCAGTAGCTCTTTGTGAGGACCTGGGATGGAGAAACAAAATGTGCTGTGATGGGTCCCCATCCTGCTGCAGAACATCTCCAGTCCAGAACGAGGTCCCTCACAGGCACCTCTTTGTCCTAAAGCACGGCTGAACAAAAGGAGGGGCAGGTCACTGTGCATACGAGCATGTCTCAGGGAAGGGGAGCCTGGGTCCCCTCTATTGCCCATGCTGTCTGGGAGATCCTGCTCTCCAGGATAAGAGCTGTTGTGGAGAAAGCTGAGGTGTAGGTAAATTCGGGTCATATAAAAGCCATTGGTACCTCTTTCTTGCTCAGCTTCAATAGGAGGAATAGGGGATGCTTCCCCAAAACAGCAAATGGCCGTATGACTTGCGCATTTTTGGAGTGGCATGTTTGAACCCGCTCAGAGTGATGGTGGGACTGACCCCAGCTCTCGTTGCCCGGGCAGGGAGAGTGGCACTGATATATCAGAAAGCACTGTTTTTTTAGGAAAGAAACAAGGAGACCTACTGACAGTTTAGCCGTTTCTTGGAATAACTGCTTCACTTACCTGGCTCTAGAGGGCCTGCTGGTGCCAGATCCTGAGTGCTAGGGGACAGCTAGCTGCCCATAGCTCTGATGCAGAAGCTTGTAAACAAGAATGGGAGAGCTGCAGCCATGTAGAAAACACCAGCTTCCTACTGCTTATTGTCAAACTTGGAATAGTTTTGGGTTTGTTTATTTTCAGAAATGAAATCTTGCCTCCTTTCCTCAGATGTTTTCATATTGTACTGTAAAATATGAAACCTGGTTTTAACCTGAAAGCATAACATGTACTTCCAGCAGCCCAAAAGAGCAGCCTACCAAAAAAAGTACTGAAAAGAGACAAAGTTCCATCGATTTCAATGGAAACAGGATTAGGCCCTTTAACATACTGTTGGGGTTTTTTGGCAGGGAAGAGGAGAGCCGAAACTCTGGCAGCTGAAGGTTCAGCTTGATCCCCAGAACTTTTAAAGAAGACATTCTTCTCCACAGCTATTGTCAGAGCTGGAGACAAAACAAGTAGAGGCCCTTTCAGCTTCTGAACTTAGCCAAAAAGCCATTTGTAACTCCTGCAGAGCGGTGCTTTTATAGGTCAGGGCAAACTCCGCAAAGATTTTCTCTCTTTTTCACTCTCTCTTGGAAGATCTGGTTAGGATCCAGAAAGTCAGTTCAGAAATTAAAAAAAACCCCACTTCAGCACATTACAAGACAGTGATAAAAGGATCTCTAAGCACATTGTTTTCTGATTCAGAGTTATATTTTACTGGTCCACATACACACCTACAGCAGTCATTGCTTCCTCAGACATTGTTCTCCAGAAATTCTTGGTTGTTTGGATCTTTAAAAACCTCAGTGTATGGGTCATATAGGAGTTTTGGAGTCTAATTTTGTTTCTAGTCCCTTAACATTACAGACCTGCAACACAGTTTTACTAAAAGCATTTTAATACCAATTAGTAGGTGCTAAATTTTTCTTCCTAATAAAATTCAATCAAATTGGCCAGATGAGAGGGGTGCAGGGAACTACAAAGGAAATGCCAAGGTAACAGCCTTGCTCTGTTTTTGCATCTGACTAGCGGGGCAAACTCAGTTTCCTGGAGTATATGTCTGACTGCACTCTAAGGGCTGCTTGAGTATGCAGGCTTTGACTGAAATGGTGATCCCAGTACCTGGGGGACCAGATCCTCGCCTAAAAATACTTGCCCTCCCCAACAAACACAACTGGAACTATTTGTTATGAACAAAAAAGGAGTAAAACCTACAGAAGGGAACAGTATAAAAAACCATGCAGTCAAACAGGCAGAAAAAAAGAGACGTAAAAAGAGTGACAGAAGGACACCAGAGACATGTAATTAGTATCAGAGCAGAAAACAAAAATGAGCATTTTATCAATGGAGAACATTTTAGAAACCCCCACACCCACCATTCCTGACAAAACACAGCTCCCATAAAAACTCTATTTATTGACATGACTGAATAGGAAAAGAAAAGCAATCAAAAACTGTCATTAGCTAACTTGTGGTACACATTTAAAGAGAAGCATCTTGTTTAGATACATCATTTACCTATGAAAACGCATGGCAAAATCACTGATAGTCACAAGGCTTTCACACACAATGGTATATCCAAAGCCTGCTAAAACCAAACACAATCTCTAACCCATGCAAGGTGTTGAACAGTTACATTGGTAAGCAGAGGGACTGGCTGGCCTACATTCACGTTTACAGCAGTGGTGGATGAGTTACATTTGAGTCGGTTAGAATGTTTTCTTGGTACATTTGCGAGGTGAAAACATATGCTTTGTTTCACCCTAAGAAGCATTCCAGCTTTTTAGCGTACTATTTTCTGTCAGTCCAAAGCATAATAGGTTGCCCTACATTTGATATATTCCGTAATTTCTTTAAAGCACTTTGAATACTACCTAGAGACGTTGTCTAACATTAATTTACACTCACAACTGAGGACATGAAAGAATAGCTCCAGAGAGAACAATAAGACACACCAGGTACTGCAGAAGGATGCTTTACAAACAATTTTGGAGTTGGTTGTTGTTTGTTTTTTATTACATGGGTAAATTAGAGTAGATAAATCCTGCAAAATAAGGTCTGCTTCTTTTGAAACATCCAAAGCTCTCAATTCACCAACCGAAGTTGGTGAATCTGCACAGAAGTGCAGATGACCTTTTGGAAACAGGATTTTCTGCTTCCAGAAGGGTACTGTGGATGAAAACTTCTCACTGCGCCGAGGCAACCATCAACTAGTTTAAGAAGCTGCTGGTGTGTGTGCATGAGTTAATCTGAAGTCATACAGGAGTGTTTTCTATGTAACACTAATAAAATACATTCCAAAGTTATAAAATATATAACATGCATTTACAAGACTTAGGCTAAATTGACATGTATGGCTACCTATACTGTTTAGCCCTTATACTGTAAGTGTTTCATGTACTATGGATCTTTTTAGCTTACCACAGCTAAATACAATCAGTAAAATGCATTTCTTTCCTACATTCAGCTCTCCCTCCACTTTCGGGGTGAGTAAGTTGGTTCAAGAAAACACTTTACATGCACACACAAAGATTTGACACCCCTGTTTCAAAAAACACTGACATTTGGCATAAGCCAGCATAATGACCAGTATCTTTACAGATTTTGTATCATACAAATGAGATGAAATTCTGCCCAGTGGAGTTTATAGTGAAATCCTGTGCTGTAATTCCACCCTGGCAAATCTCTTTAGCGTGTAGTTAGCGGTGTCATGAGATGCAGTAAGATAAGAGTTTTTTCCAGGGTTATTTTTTGTTTGGTTGTTTGGGTTTTTTTTTTTAATACTGTGTCTTTTACTTGTGGACCATAAGATTTATATCTGCATAAAGTCTACTCCCAAAACAAGCAAATAGGAAACTTGGTGACTTTGTCCTAACCTCCTCCTCCCTGCTGCCAAGAAAAAAAAGCTTCTAGATGGAGAGTCTTTCTCAATGGGTTACTTAGTTCACCGGTGTCAAACTCAGTTCACTTTTAATTACTGGCCCCTGAAAAAATGCCAGAGCAGGAAAAACAGTTCAAAAAGTCTTTATAATTAATTCCCCGTTATTCAATTCTGCATTAGTGGAGTTCAAATGATTTTCATATTCTGCTTGCAAATTGGAAATTCCAATGTGAATGGCAATGCTCAGTCCTCATGGAAACCCTTCTGCAGCCACAGAGCTAATGCTGGATGGGTACTCTCAAATAGGTGCCAAATATTCTTTAACCCAATGGTATTAGCTTTGTGGCATAATAAAGTGGGTTGCTCTTAGAGTCAGCTGCAAACTGGAAGTCTTTTTATCTCCCATCTTTAGGTCAGTGTGCTCACCTTTTTTCATGACTTGTGGTGATCTATCTACTTTTCATATTTAATGTGACTTTCACATGAGCAACATAAACCTTTTTTATGTTTCTGTAGATAAAATGGATCACACAGCACTCCAGATAAACTTTTGCTTTTTAAAGTCTTCTATCTTTCAGTATAAGACGTAAAGATATCAAATTGAAAAGAAGTACAAAGATCTTAGTAAAAACCACAGGGATTGAAGATTGTTTCCCCTAAAAATGGTGTGAAACTAGGATCCCTTCACTCCTCTGAAAATGTCATGTAACAACTTTTGGTGCAGAATTAGGTTTTTTCCTAATATTTCTACCTGCTTCTATCCTGAGTATTCCAGATTACTACAATATACCATGTTATTCTGAGTTGTACCATACAGTTCTTAATTACCTCCAAATAGTTTTAGTCACACATACCCTGAGCCTGCCACTTGCTTCCAATATTCCCATATGACCCGTGCAGGCTCCCAGGCCCTGGAGCCATGCTAAGGGCAAGGAGGGAGCTGCAGCGGGCACAACCTGCCATCCCGAGGGATGCCGCTTGCTGTTAGCCCTTCCTCCCGTCCAGCTCCCCGGGTGACAGCCTGAGGCTGAAGCAGAACCCCAGGGACCCTGGGCGGCATCTCCCCCATCCGGCTGCCGGAGAGGGATGCTGAGAGCAGGCCGGCCGGCGCCCCGGCACGCTTATCTTCTTCCGCCCGCGTGTGCGGATGCCAACTCTGGCATCCATAAAACTGGGTTACATCAAACGGACCAACCGCCGTCATCTCCCCGTTATTACCCCGACACAAGCACTGACAAAAGGCCGCTGCCAAGGCCTCCGCTGACAGGCGGAACAATAGCGGCAACAAAGGCCTTTTCTGCCTGCGCAGATGACATAAATCTGATGCTATAACGCCGGCGCGACTTCAGCTTGCTCCTTATTTATTTATTTAATAAGCCACTGTCATCCATCTCGGGAAGGTGGCTTCCAAACTCCAAATTAATCAAGCCACTGAATGCGAATTTCCATATTGCTCTGCCAAAGGTCTTCTCCACATCAATTGCTGGGAGAAGGCCCCCGTTGTGCTTTGGTGTATTGTGCACGGCGCTACTGCTGCTGCTAAAAGCCACTCTGTTTTTAATAAACATGCATTGTTCTTTTTGTAGTAAATCCAGGAAATAATACCCAACTGGGAATTTGGGTGCAGGCTCTTTTTGTAGTGTAAGTAAGTGGAGCGATGGATGCATTTTCATGTCTGTTAGTGTCGTGATGGCTCCATTCGTTACTGCTTGGAAGGTATTTCATTTTGCAAAAATATAAATTAAGAAAATATTGAGGTAATGTTTTCTTGTTTATCTTAGATAAACCCAAGCTGTGGCCACTGATCCAGCATTTCTGTGGTGGTCAATCACTTCACCAAATGGGATGTTCAGCTCCATGTGCCCCATGCTCAGCCACTTACCCAACTGCCAGAGCGTGATTTTCCGGAGTGCTTCGGGTGAATTACCTCAACATTACTGAATTCAATGAGGTAAAAATGCCACCGACTTAATGGAACCAGGATTTTGCTTGTCTGCCTTTTAAAATTCTTTAGTTGACTAAATATCAGATCTTAATAAGCCTACACAAGTTATCTGCTTCCTTTGGGCAGTCTGTGAAGAAAAGAGGCAGCTCCCTATGGGACGGTTCCTCACCACTGTCTCAGTGATGGGCTGAACTACCTTCCTGAGGAAAATCATGATTTCTTCCTCTGTAATACACACCTACCACCCTGTGTTGTATGAGCTGCATCGCCTTTCCCGTTGACAGAGAAGGCAAGCAGGAGGGTGGCGGCCCCAAGAGGGCAGGAGCAAAACTAGAAGGGTGGCTCCTGGGTGAGGTGGTGACCAGGGACTTGCTGCACGTGTGACTGCACCATGGCCCCATAGATGGGTTTGTTTCACAGTCCAGCCACTAGAAAAGTGCTCCTCAGTGGTGTAACAGGGAAGGAAAGCAAGAGGTGGGTCAACATCGCCATAAGAGTAGAAGGGAGATGATAGGACTCTTCCATCAGCTCTACTTGAGCATATATTCAATGCTTTCCAGGTCTTACAGATGCAGGAATGGATCTTATCTCCCCCACAAGAGGTTATTTCAATTCCTAAAGATGTGAAGAAGTCTGCTTTCACAAGTTATTTATTTAAAAAGGTCTATAGGGAGTTTTCACTAGAAACTGAAGCTCCTCCATTTTTTCATGATGAAAGAATGAAGCATTCAAAAGGAAAAGAAGCATTCAAAAGACTTTAAATAGTGCAATTAAAAATCCCTTCACCACTCAACTAGTCAGGTTCCTCATTTGCACAGAATTTTAGTAGTGTATTCAAGAAGAAAAATGTCTCTGAATAGTTATATTGCTAGACAACGAAACAGAATACAGATGGCACTCATAATATGAATAGACTTTGATTGACAATTAGAGGCACAATAAAATCTACCAGTGAAACAAGAGATATGATAACTAAAGATATGTTCATTGTGTTTTAAACATTCTTATCCCATGAAATAGCAAAGTAATTTGTTAACCACATATCCTTACTTGTCTAAACTTTTCACTCCAAAAATACTACGGCTTCATTCAGGAAAGTCTGCAGTTGCAAACATTGAGAAAGAATACCAAGAGATGGCATGTTTTTATTTCAGTAACACCTTCTTTCTAAAAAAAACCAACCCAAGCCCAGTAGAAAATAGTAAGTTGAGCTTCGCAGCATATCTCCAATGAAAAGCAGTGCTTTTCTAGTGAGGATTAATTGTTTTCTTTTGAAGGATAGGTGGTGCGGAATCTACCCAGCCCCTGCCTCCCAAAATGACAGCTGGGGTTCTCGTGCTAGGCTTAGGCTCAGGAGGCTCAAACGCGCAACGACCCACAGGAGGGACTTTTACAGCTAAGCAGTCACACACTCAGGGTTATCCCTGCAAACAGGCCGCTTGGTTTTCAAGAACAGAAAATAGATGGGGGCAGAAGCTAGAGAGAAGCCTGAATTTGTGAGAGCGAGCAGGGCTGGGAGAGAAAACATCTGGGGCCCAACCTGTGCTTTCAGAGCTGGTTTTGCTCTTTATCCGATGACACTTCTGCAGGAAGAAGCAGCCCTTCTGTGAAAGCAGTGGGAATGGGACCTGCCCAGCAACCTGTGAGAGCAGGCAATAAAAAGCCATGGAGCAAGCCTGAACCACGTGCCTGGGTGGAGCTTGACCACCTCCAGGCAACTCCAAGTAGGAGAAAACATCTGAGGTGGCAGATGAGATTGCAGGACTTGAACTAAGTCATGAGTGAAATCTCCAAAATAGGCAGCGCATTTCCAGCTTGAAATTACAGATGCATCGACTTACACTTTTTACCATCATCCAACAGACTCAAGGCAGACAAATCAAAGTGTTAACAATGAGCAAGAGCAAACCCCTCCAAACTGAAAAACACCTCCACAAAATCCTACTTACGATGTTTTTTTCCCTGTTTCGGTGCCTAAGTATCTTTCTGAGTAACTAACATTCTTTTTTTTTTTTTAAACCATATTGAAGACAACCATAAAAAGATGTGCCAGAAAATACATTATAAATAGCTCTAGTCTTAAAATAATAATGCACCAAAATTAATAAAATAAGGAAAAAAAAGGTAATTAATACTGCTGACTGTGCTACAGCCTAACTGATGAAGGGAAATGCATTCAGTCTCCTAAAATGCCTGTCTCCAAGACCATCAGGGTTAGTTTCTGAGTGGCACGTTTTTAAAACATTTAATCAGTGATCTGAATATGTGTCAACACTTTCTGGTGGTGTGCTATAAAATGTGAACCTTGTCAACAGAAACATAAAAAGGTGACACACTTGGGACACAGAGCTTTTATGCTGACACACTGTAATAATATCATTTTAAAATTTATCATCTGTTTAGCCACAAGCAACAATTAATCTTTTTGACTAATCGTACAATGCTTTAAATAACACCTCCGAAAGAAGAAAAAAGTTCCATTTTTACTTTCATTGCCTTCCCATTTGTGCCGCCTTCAAATCCTTATGAAGCAACACGCAATAAATTTTGCAGCAAGGATAAAAATGTTAGCAAATAATATGCTTCCCCCTCCTCAGTTAATAAAATTACTTAACACCGAGCCTGCAAGTGAAAAGCAAACCCCAGGAGTAACGCAAGCATCAGCGGGTTCAGTTCTGTCGCGTTTCTGTTGCATTAAGTGACATTTTATTCCCAAATCACTTAACCTTTGACTTTCATAACTAAACATATAGACCTTGAATTGTTAGCATGGAGGGGACCAGCGAGCGACACCGCTGCCAGGCACTGAAACCGAGCACCCTGCAGTAGTGGATGGCTACGGGATGGAAATAATTGGGCTCATAAGAACCCGAGTTTCTGTACAAAACTTGCTGTGTGGAAAAGGAGGCTGAAAGGGAAATAGGAGGAGGGGAGAGGGGCCTCATTTCTGCTAACGAACTCTCTGCTATACAGCGCTAGGAGCAACTCCCTAGGGGCCCCAGGTAGGCATTTTTGCAGCATTCCCACCGGTGGTGCATGTGCCAGGCAAGGAAGGGGTTAACAATCAGGAAGAAGTGGGAAAAAGCACTTTATAATTAAAGGCTAAACCCTACTGAACCCAGCTGGAGCTGCACAAAGGGATGGGATGGGGGGAGCTGTCAGCTGCACCCCTCCATCTACCCTGCTTGAGGCTGTGCTGGGGATGGAGAGGGGAACTCAAAGGTTCTCAAGAACAAAAGTGATGGTGGCAAATGTTGGACATGGCAACTGACCACAGTCCTGTCACAGGTTGCTAAGTGAAATGAACAGCAGTTTCGTAATGTGAGTGGAAGGGGGCTTTTTGGGGAACTGCTTTAAAAGTAACGAGGTGAAAACAAAAGTGGCAAATGCCAACTGCCCCATAGCACCTGGTGAGGGAGGGAGGGAGGGAAGGAGGGAGAGAGCGAGCCCTGCAGGGAGCTGCAGTATGGGTCTCTGCAGGAATTTCTAGAAGCTAAATTATTTAGCACTTTTACTACTGACAAGGCAGCCACAGGTAAGCCCTGGAGAAAAACCCTGTGTCAGACTTTTCCACTCAGAACATCCATGTTTTTTTTCCAAAAAAATGCAGGAATGATGTCAAACCATATAGATAAAAGCTTCACAGATACATGTGTGTCCCTGTAAGCATGCTTCCATCGATAACCATCAAAGGTGAAGGCTTCTCTTGCTTCAATTCTGAGACCCTGAGTGCCTCCTCCTGGGTACATGGGAGTGGGGAGACACCAACCACCTCACTAAAGGTGACCCCATGGATGGAAAAATACAGTTGCATCTGAGAGGTGCGTTTGTAAGACTATCATGATGGCAGAGTCCTTTAAGTTGTATGTATAGCAACTAAGAAAGTTTCTGATTAAAAAATACAATTGCATAAATCACTTTCTTCTTCCTTGCTCACTGGCAGAGGGCTTTTTCCTCTGTAGCTCTCATCCACATTGCCGGTGTGAAATGTGCAGTCTTGAGAAGGCAAGGGGAGGAACCTGACTGCCAAATTCAGTAAGGTACTGAGCCACTCATGGCAGGATTTAGTTTCCAAGCATGGTCCTTGTAAACTTACTGATAATGACTTTTTTTAAAAGGGTGGAAAAATGAAAATTTTCTGTGCTAAATATGGACCAGTTCCCACCTACTTTAATCTTAAATGACAGTTTTATTTGCTTCTCCTAAGAGTGTAATTCTAGGTATTCATCAACCACAGAAGAGCGGACTCCAAACAGCCT